TGGGGGGGGGGGGGGGGATTTATGTTGATTATTAACAATCTAGGTTGAAAATGAAAGTTTTTCCTATTCCCAATTATTAATATAGTTCTGTACTGTGAGCTATACTCATTTACCTCTCCATAAATGATGTTATGTAAGTTGTGTGTTGTAAGTTGTGTGTGTGGATAACTAACAAGTAACTTATCACAAGCCTGTTTCTGCAATCTGTACAAAAACTCTCCTTTATTCACTGCCGCAAGAGCTATAAAGAAGATACATGCTGTGTTTTCCTAGACACTTTGTAACATGTTTTTCACAAAGGTCTAAATACTGTTCCAAGAGCTTTTCTCTGCTGATGCCAAAAAATGTAAAGAAATGCTGAATACTGGCTTCGGTATTCAGTTAATTTCATATTGAATTTCAGGTGATGCCCCTCTTTGAAACGCTTCCTCTCAGGCGGTGGAAAAAGATCCGACTAACATTTTCAGTTTATTGTTGTCACAAGACTGTCAGTCTCGTGAATACAAAGAGCGCAGTTTTTCCTGTGTGTAAGAGGAAGAGCAGATGTGATTCTCTCAGAGAGGCTGAAGAACGTTTGAAATGGAAAATCTGTTAGAAAGATGATGATAGACAGAGCAGTGGGCTGTGATGTTTGGAGTTTTTTCCCTAATTTTGAAGTTTGTGCTTACTAAAGTGTGTGACTGTTCATGCATTGTTTACTGAAATGTTTCGCATTGTGTAGTACGCACAAATCAGTTTACCAAGCTGGGACTGATGAAGGTTTGATTAAAGTTTGTTTTGGATATTGAGATTGGTGAGTTAGGCTCTTACAACCTGATGGTTTTCACTTTTCATAGTGCTGAAAATCTTCACATTTTTCCCTATCGGATGACAGCACTGACGGGATCATTACACCCGAAATTACTCCTCATATAAAAGCAAGTAAACTAAGATTACAGTATTTAATCTGCAGAAAGTGATGGATATACTGTAATCAGTGTTGGGTATTGGTCAGAAACTTGCAGACAGTGATCAACTAATGGGTCTTCACCCAAAGTGTGCTCAAGGTCACAGTTGTCATTTTACTGGCAAGAACCTGTGAATTGTGATGGATTGCGAACCGGATGAGCCACCGGATGAGCCACATCAGCCATTCTGGCTCTGTAATGGAGTAATTCAGTAATTACATCATAGTTATTAATCAAACAATAAGCTACATAAGTTCCTCGATTGTCTGCGTGATTCGGGGGGGGGTTGGAAAAATGTTCCAGCATATTTTTTACAACAGCGGCTTTGATGACAGTTCATGTGGAAGATGAGGCAAAAGTGTTAGAGTGATTTATGACTGCTGAGGAGCGATGATTACATCTTCTTTCTAAAGAGAGCGAAGAAGAAAGTCACATTTGCAGACGTACAAAGAAGCAAATGTGAAACACTGGCAAACATGTAAAAGTGGCAAGAAAGTAAAGAGAGCGCCGCGCTCATGCAAGAAACAACAACCCGCCACTGCAAGAATAACGTCAAAGCTCTGTGCGGACTTGTAAAACGGTATATAATGCTCACACAGAGTTAGCAGTGAGAGGTACCCAGACCCGAGTGATGCAGCTAAGCAGCTGATTCGGC